CAAAACTGTAGAATGTTCTGGATTCGAACTCTAGCATCCGTCAGTTGTGTGCAGCTTTTGTTTTTGTGTTTGTGTGTTTGTGTGTGTGTGTGTGTGTGTGTGTGTGTTTGTGTGTGTGTTTGTGTGCGTGTGTGTGTGTTTTACGATTTATAAAGAAAGTGGGCACGCTCTGGTTTATGGAAGCCTGTTGTCACAGTATTACTTGTGTCATATCATTACACATCTTCACTTAACAGATGAACACACCACACCAAACTCGCACACTCTCATCTTCAACACTCTGCAACTCTACTCACATACTCCACCCGGTTCTCCACCCTTAAACTCCACCCTCAAACTCCACCGTCACACCACCCTCAAACTATCCCCCCCCCCCCCCCACCCTCACGCTTTTCCTAAAAACTACCACTTCACCCACAAAGCACAAAAAACCATCTCTAAAAACCATCGTTACCTAGCATTCACATTCACGCTCCCCTCCCCTCCCCCTACCAGAACCGCCTACACTAAAACCTTAAGCCCCTTCCAACATCGCCGCTAAGGCAGTGACAACCTAACACCACACAGCGGACTATATAATTGGCACCAGTGCCGTCTGCTGGATGCTGCACGTCTTCCGGTTAGTGTCAGCACGTGCTCTGGTCTCGCTCACAAAGTCTTTAGGTCTAGTACCAGACGTCAGGTGCTGGAGCACAGCGGTCCTCACACTGGAGCTCATAAGTCCTCACATTATACATCCTACTGGAGCACAGCGGTCCTTATTAGCCCAGCGGTCCTCTCACGGTACATAATTCTGGTGTCCAGCGGTCCTCACACTGGAGCCTAGAAGTCCTCACATTGTACATCCTACTGGAGTCCATAAGTCCTCACTAGCCCAGCGGTCCTCACTAACCCACCCTGTCCTCTCACGGTACATAATTCTGGTGTCCAGCGGTCCTCACACGGTTAACCATCATGGAGTCCCGAGGTCACAACTAGAGCACAGCAGTCATCACACGGTGCGTCATTCTGGAGTTCAGCGGCCATTACTGGGTACACTATCCTGAAGTTCAGTGCTTATACTAGAGCTCAGCGGTTCCCTTAAGGTACATCCTGCAGGATCCCAGCGGTCCTCACATTAGGGCCCATAAGTCCTCAACCTGTGCACACTACAGGATCCCAGCGGTCCTCACATTAGGGCCCATAAGTCCTCAACCTGTGCACACTACAGGATCCCAGCGGTCCTCACATTAGGGCCCATAAGTTCTCAACCTGTGCACACTACAGGATCCCAGCGGTCCTCACATTAGGGCCCATAAGTCCTCAACCTGTGCACACTACAGGATCCCAGCGGTCCTCACATTAGGGCCCATAAGTCCTCAACCTGTGCACACTACAGGATCCCAGCGGTCCTCACATTAGGGCCCATAAGTCCTCAACCTGTGCACACTACAGGATCCCAGCGGTCCTCACATTAGGGCCCATAAGTCCTCAACCTGTGCACACTACAGGATCCCAGCGGTCCTCACATTAGGGCCCATAAGTTCTCAACCTGTGCATCCTTCAGGATCCCAGCGGTCCTCACATTAGGGCCCATAAGTCCTCAACCTGTGCACACTACAGGATCCCAGCGGTCCTCACATTAGGGCCCATAAGTCCTCAACCTGTGCACACTACAGGATCCCAGCGGTCCTCACATTAGGGCCCATAAGTCCTCAACCTGTGCACACTACAGGATCCCAGCGATCCTCACATTAGCGCCCATAAGTCCTCAACCTGTGCACACTACAGGATCCCAGCGGTCCTCACATTAGGGCCCATAAGTCCTCAACCTGTGCACACTACAGGATCCCAGCGATCCTCACATTAGGGTCCATAAGTCCTCAACCTGTGCACACTACAGGATCCCAGCGGTCCTCACATTAGGGCCCATAAGTCCTCAGCATGTAGGCGACATCCTACAGGATCGCAGCGGTCCTCACATTAGGGCCCATAAGTCCTCAGCATGTAGGCGACATCCTACAGGATCGCAGCGGTCCTCACATTGAAGCCAATAACTCCTCACACTATACATCCTACAGGATCGCAGCGGTCCTCACATTGAAGCCAATAACTCTTCACTCTATACATCCTACAGGATCCCAGCGGTCCTCACATTGAAGCCAATAAGTCTTCAAACTATACATCCTACATGATCCTATTGGTACTCGTGCTACAGCTGTCAGATGACAAAACCTGGAACCCCACAAATGTATACCCCCACCCTGTGATCTTGAAGACCACTATTAAGGCCATCCTAACCTCACACCATATATCCAACATCGTGAGAACCCTCCTCAGTAACATTCTTTCTTTACGATGTGTTTGCAAGTATCTTAACGTCACCAGCATTAAAATAAGTCACGCGCTAACAATTAAGACATGAACTTATGACTTCCGGTCCTGAGAGCATCGTATTTAGTTAACGGCCATAAACACAGAAACAGCGCGCTTTTAAACTCGTGGTTTTTTATTTGTTTTTTTACAGTCATTTAAATAAGAGAGTGTCTATTCGCATTTCACTGCAGTCTTCATAGTCTATTCGTAGTGAACTATAGTAAACTACTTATAGCCGCAGCCTTTATAAACTGCTGGGTCTTACTGTGTATGTTTATTAGAAGAATACAGTTAGCTTGCCCGTACCCCCATAATGAAATCATTAGTATCGATGTTTCAACATATACTTATCCACCCAACCGCGTCTAATTATTCGTGTAATTAACATAGCGAATAACAACACTAAAGCCTACACGTTTACAGTAAATGTAAATTTTTTCTTCTTCTTCGTTCTCAATTGTAATATTAAAAGATGCATTCTTCAACATAATTAAGTATAACGTGTCAACATATTATGTGCCGTCGACTCCAACTTTAGCCTGTCATTTTTTTCTTAATATACGTCCATAGCCATTGTCCAACCAAGAACAATCACAAAACAGCGTTTATTTGATTTTAGAGTTTTCTCTCTTAGAAGAGTTACTTTCCCCACCTAACCTCATCTGCTAAGGGTCCGAACGTGGGACTTTTGGTGTTTTAATTCATACACTCTCCGACCACGCCGCCCCCAATAAGGCAAACCTGGACTAAACAACAACAACACGATTCCAATACTAACTATAGAAATACCCTCCCCCTCCCCTCCGTTACGTTAACGTTGAATATAGATTGTATGGCAGATCTCTAAAAAGCATGTAAGTATTTGTTAGAAGTCTAACATACATTTGTTGTCCCCTGTCGGAAAGTTTGTAGTCGTCACACGGATAATATAAGGGGCCATCCATTTATGACGTCCACACGCGGGGGGGGGGGGGGGGGGGTCCAAAATCCAAAACGTGAACGTCATAAATGGATAACCCCTAAAGGGTAGAAACTCAAGGTCAAGGTCGATACGGTGACTCCTCATATTCCACGTTGGTTTAGTGGGACGTCATAACGATGATCTAATTCACCTTACACTATTGGTATTAGTCCTCGATTAAAAAAAACAACAAAAAACAAAAACAACCTCGTTTTTAAGATGGGCGGGAGTAGTCGATTAAAATGTAACGCAATCCTCACTTTGAGAGCCATAGTACCCTTTGTGAACCTGACGGTCCATTTGGGGCAGGTGAAGTAGACTTTACCTGTTTCACTAACCCACCTCCTAAGACTAAACCCCTCCTCAATGACTAACCCACTCCACTAATACTATCCCCCCTCAAGCTAACCCACCCCTTAAGATAACACCCGCTCACAAAGACTAACCCCCCCCCCCCCCATACACACACACACTGAAACTCCACTATTTCAACCCACCCTAAACCACCCCGTTACCCCAGCCCTGACCCTAGTTCATGCAACATCATGTGTGACACCATCAATTCGATTAGCTGGAGGGGGGGGGGGGAAGGATGAGAGGTAGGGGGGTAGAAAGGGGGGGGGGTGACTACCCCAACAGAACCAGTACTTCAAGGTCAAATTTGTAGAAATTTTAGAAATTTTACTTTTAGAAACGTTTCGAAAGGGAAAATATAACTAGCTATTTAAACTAAGTGTGATGAAAAACATACAACTAGATCTACAAACAATATGGGGGGAAAGGATAAGCCACAGAAGAAGATAAAGTAGCCAAAAATAAAAAAAAATTAACAACGATGAAGATGCGCGGCCACAAATGACTACCCTCATAGTATCGACGCGGTTCAGAATAATAACACATTTTTTTTTCTCTCGGTATCGCTCGGCCACTGCCCCCGCTCCGGAGAAAGAATTGCAGCTGCAAAGAAGAGAGAGAGAGGGGGAAGGGAGGGGGAAAAAACTATGACAGAACCTGTGCATGTCGTCTGCACGGGTGTAGTCCGACCTGGCGCGGGGAGGGGGGGGGGGGTGGGGGAGTGAACTAGTGCCCGCGATCAACAGCATGAATGGAGTCCACGACCATCCAGGCTCGCCGCCACATCGCGACCCACATCGCGCCTGCGATGTTACGTCTGCTTGTGCTGCGCAGCGCGCGCTGCATTTTCTGACATAACCCCCAACGGCTCGCTCTCTCCCTCCCCCATCCCCTCCCTCCCCCACCCCCCAACCCATGCCCTCCTATTTTTCTGCCCTCGCCGCAGGGGGCCAAAAGGATTCAAGATCTCTCTCAATCTCTATCGCGTTGTATCACTTGCGTCCAGTATTACACAACTACACTGTATTACTACCGCTCTCACAAGCGGTTAAAACTTTTTTTTTCTCTCCCCCTCTCCCTTCTCATCGCTACCAACGCTGCATTCTCTCCCCCCCCCTCCCACATGCACCCCCCCACATCTCTTATTATTTAATTCCCCCACATTAAAAAAAGATACTCTTCACCACCCCCTACCCCTTTTTTCCCTTCTAACAATCCCCCTCCCTTTGTATTTTTTTACCCCCACTTCTTAAAAAAAAAAAAAAAAAAACCCTCCCCCCACCACCGCCTTTATTTCTTTGGGTTGTTAGGTGTCGTGGTCCGCCTGCAGTGCGCAATGCATGTTATAGTTCTGCTCTTACTCGTGCAGTTTTCTGTGGCGCGAGGACGGGGGAAAGACTCGGTTTCGTTTCCTTTAGTTGTTTGAGTATGTCAGTTCAAACAGAGCCCATCTCGAGGCTGATAGAAAAAAAACAAACCACAACAAACCACTGAGTCGGATTTTTAACTTTTACTAGTAAAACCACCGGTCGCAGAACGCGTGCTTCACAATTTGAAAAAAAAAAATTACAATTGTGATATTTTAGAAATAATTTTTTAAATCTTATTTTTTGTAGATATAAAAAAACACGGTAATTATTTTTTTCCTACACATGGATATTGCTAGCGTGTTTTGATTTTCGGCGATTACCTTGACGCAGGTAATTATTAATTAAACTTGTATCCTTATTAGTTCTTAATTGTATTTTTTAAACGTTTTTATTTTTAATTTAATTAGTAATTTTTTTTTAAAAACTTAACCTCATTTCACAATTTGTAACATTCACACAACCGAATCTGTACTTCTAAGCCATACATCCACGGCAATATCTTACATTCATATTTTTTGCCTGTAATTACATTAATTGATTAACAAAACATTTTTATTACATTTCCAATAAAAATCAGCCGTTTCATAAATATCGATTCAAATATGTTTCTTCATTTTAAATTTTCAAATAGCAATAATTTTATTTTACTCAATATTTTTGGCAATTTGTCGTAAATGTATTTTTTGAAGACAATAATATACATAATTAATTACACTACAGCGCTTATACGAAATGTACATCAAACTCACATAACAATTTGATATTCATCATACATATAGTAGGAATAGACGTTTAATATTTATTAATAAATCTAATAGATTTAAACATTTAGTATAGATCTATATTCAATAGCCTCTTACATATAGAGCATATATCTAATAGACTTAAATATTTAGCATATAGCTAAAAAAAAACGTTTAAATATACAGCACATATGTAAAAGACGTTTAAATATTTAGCAAACGTTTAGTAGACGTTTAAATATTTAGCACAGGCCTAAATCTAATAGAAGCTTAAATATTTAGCAGTGTATATTATGCTTAAATGTTTACATCTAGTGTTAGCTAAAGTAAAAGATCTACAATTGGGCATACCTCTAGGACTTTAGTTTAAGTAAAGGCTATATAGACTAGGTAGTGTAAGTAAAGGCTATAGGTAGTTCAAGCTATAGGATTCAGCATGCATCTATTACACACTTAACTCTGAAGGCTTTCGGCCGAGAAGAGCGAACTAAAACTTTGATTGTTGCCATCGATTGACGAGACTCGGGCGATAGGTCACACTCGGCTGCTTGTGCTCGGTGTTTACATCTGCTGGGGCTACACGTACACGCCGCACAATGTGTCGTTTGGGACACGGTGCATGTGTCGTAGTCTACATATCTCATACGTTGTTTAACCTACGCTTCGTCGTGTGTGTTTAGAACTTAGAGTAATGTCGTGTGTGTTTAGAACTTAGAGTAATGTCGTGTGTGTTTAGAACTTAGAGTAATGTCGTGTGTGTGTGAATGTACGTGATTGGTGTGTGTTTACATACACACTGTCCGCGTGTAAAGCATGCTGTGTACGGTGTTCTGACGTAACGTTGACACAGCAGCCATGCATGTGACCCCCCCCCCCCCCCCCCCACAGGACACACTGCAGTTGTTTATCGGTCTGGCTTAGTCATGCGAGGGTATAATTCACAGGGTTCACCGCGAGGGTATTATCCAACGGGTTGGGTTCACGATGGGGGTATTATTCAAAGGGCTAGGTTCATGGTATTATTGATATTCGACGTATTGGTTTATATAAACATCTGCGGGATATTATCTACCGTTCGGTGTTTAAGTCGTGTGTTGGTTGTTACTAAACAAGCTCTACACTAACGTGTATTCAATATCTGCCCACTTCATCTATTCACTGTGTATTTGGATCATATGATGGACAATTTGTGTCTGTTTTTTTAACACGCCAGCTTTAAGTTTTCAAAAGGGTATGTTCGTCTAATTATTACACACCTCATCTTAACACTGCACTAGAAAATTATAATAAATAACGAGATAATAATTTCATATTGTTTTAACGCCAGTGTTGGATTCTCGATGAGCGGGTAGCGCCCCTAGTCTGGCTTGTACCGTGTTTGTTATGTTATGGTGAGTACGTCACCTCGCGATGTGCTGGATCCATTTCCGCATGTTGAGTTTTTAGGACACATTCCCGCTGATGAGTTCACCAGAAAAATTGCTCATCTAAAAACACAAACATCGCATTATTATTTTTTTCCCCAGTTATAATTAGCTAGAAGCTAGATTTTTAAAAAAATATCAAGAAGCCTTTTTTTCACCTCAGTTTAACGTCGAGTTTAAATAATCTGTTAATTTTATTATTATTATTCCGACACGACGCAATTTGTTGCTATACATTTCACAACATATAACATTTTACTCAGCATTAAAGCCATAACACAGGACACGTCGCGTAGGTTATTGTTGATTTCATACTACCGACCGATATATTTAAATACTTATACATCTAACCTTGCGCTCACTACGAGTAGGTTAAAATAATAATTAAACACATTCCTTTTAGATTAAAAAATTTAAAATCTTAAATATTTAAAAAAAATTAAAGTTATTTTAATCATGTTATGCCTGAGTTTTTAAAATATGTCTGCGTTGTGGTGTACTCCATGATCTATCTATATATATATACATACTTTTTTGTATATATATATATATATATATATATATATATATATATATATATATATATATATATATATATATATATATATATATATTCTATTGAACCCTAGGTAGCAGATTTTGAAAGTTTGAAAGATTAACAGTATATCTCCTCCCCCCCCCCCCACCCTGCCTGTGTACAGTATACAATGGCACACATACCACAGATTAAAAAAAAAACCTACATGCCGCATGTAACACGACACACACACCGCTTAGAGGAATACACCGGCCTCGTATCCATGTCCCGTTTACTGGGGCGCAGGCAGAATTCAGGTCACCTAATATTAGACACTAGTAACTAGCAGGTTGGCCCGTCTAGCTCGGGCCGTCTGCGGTTTTTGCACCTCTACACATCTTCCCCCCTTTTTTGATGCAGGCAATTTTTCCCCCCTCCTGCACGCCGAGTTTAGCGCGACTTTATCAACTAAATAAAGACGGTATTACGATTTGAATAAAGATGATTTAATAGACTATAGATATGACTTTATCAACTAAATAAAGACGGTATCACGGTTTGAATAAAGATGGTTTAATAGACTGTATAGAATGACTTTATAAAAATTACTTTATTAAATAAATAAAGACGGTATTACGATTTGAATAAAGATGATTGAATAGACTGTATAGATATGACTTAATAAAAATGACTTTATTAAATACATATAGATGACTTAATGATTTAAATAAAGACGACTTAAAACATGGAATAAAAGATGACTTTATGTAGTAAATAAAGATGTCCTAATGAAAGAAGTATTATTTATGAATTAAATAAAGATGAATGTGTTAACTTAAAAGATGACTGTAAGCATAAACTAAAGATGACTTTATAAACTAAATAAAGATGAATATGAACTAATTAAAGATGACTTTAATGAACTAAATAAAGATGACTTAATTAGCCAAAGAAAGATGACTATGAACTAAATAAAGTTGTTTTATGAACTAAATAAAAATGACTTTGAACTAACTAAAGATGTTTTATGAACTAAATACAGATGACTATGAACAAACTAAAGATGTTTTATGAACTAAATACACAAGACTGATTATGAACTAACAAAAGATGTTTTATGAACTAAATAAAGATGGCTATGAACTAACAAAATATGTTTTATCAACTAAATAAAGATGACTATGAACTAACAAAATATGTTTTATCAACTAAATAAAGATGACTATGAACTAACTAAAGATGTTTTATCAACTAAATACAGATGACTATGAACTAACTAAAGATGTTTTATAAACTAAATACAAATGACTATGAACTAACTAAAGATGTTTTATCAACTAAATAAAGACGAATTAACAGATAGAGGGGGATAAAGATTGCTTGCGGCCATGGCTTTAAAAAAGTGAATATAGTTTTTGAAGATTCTCATAAAACTGACTGAACAGTCCCGTTAGACTTTGGGTAGATTTAGATTTAAACCTCCCTTAGTTTATTCGCTGTAGGTAGTCTACTTCTTTTTTTTTTTTAAAGAAGACTTTCATTGATATTAAAACAAGAACTTTTTACATCAAGGTTTTTTAATTGTTAAACAAATATCTACTCAATTTTCTGAAACAAAAATCGAATGAAAAACTAATTACTTATCGCACAGCCATCAACCACTTTCAATAACAACTCCCACAAAAACCTAACCTAAATCTGACTTGCCCTCAATAGTTAACATGATAAAGGTTTGGTTTTTCCGTAATCTGATCGAGCTTGGTGCGGCAACTATGACACACACCAACTCTAAACTTTCCCTCATCACAGTATTTCGACCGCACCATTCTATCTTAGCTAACAACATTGTTTTTAAAAGGCAACTATCGCAGTATTTCGACCGCACCATTCTATCTTAGCTAACAACATTGTTTTTAAAAAAAACTTGTTAAATTCTAGCTCTAGTTTAAAAACTAATTAAAATAAATATGATTTAAAATTCGTGTTAAAACTTCAGCGTTGCTATTCTAGCAATACCATACATGGAGGTTAGATAGCGTTAGTGGAAAATTTAGATTTTAACCAAGTTTAAATTTCTAATTTAATATCAGTTAATTCCGTAATAAAACTTGTAGTATGGAAATAGCTATTTAAAAATTATCATGCCAATTTTAACACTTTACAGTTTTAACATTAAAATATAATATAAATATATTTAACCTCATATTAATACATATGTAGGTCTATATGTTGTTCTCTTAGTTGGATTACAAATTTTTGTCAGTAAAGTACAATTTTATGACAAGATATCCATCTTTAGGTTTTATAGCATTAGCTCCTAAAATTTAACAACTGTTGGATTTTAACAAATATAATTTTGATTGATTATATATTTTACTAGTGGAAGCATAAACTTAATAACCATTTATTAATTTGAATGACCCTAATGTATCTTTTTTTTGTATTGTTACTTAGTTATTTGTTTTACACGTAACATAATATATGCCCGAATATATATATATATATATATATATATATATATATATATATATATATATATATATATATATATATATATATATATGTATATATATATATATATATATATACATATATATATATATATATATATATATATATATATATATATATATATATATATATATATATATATATATATATTGGTAGAAATAGTTTTAGTGGTTATAAACTATATATGTATGAATGTATGATTGTATAGAGTATAGATACTTAGAAATATATCTAGTATTTACAAAGTATGAGTCGGTTAATGCGAATGAAAACACCTAGACTCTTCATTTCCCATTGATTTATGTATTCATTTAATTGCGGCTGCATATCGCCTAACTCTCCCGAGTTAATGAATATTTCTCCGACAAAAGTGTTGAAGTCAGTCGCCGTTGTCCCCTCATCGACGCGTGTAATTAACACGAAAAACGTTCCGGCGATGTGTGACGGAAGAAAGATGAATCGTCCTATTGATTCACGCGGCTAAGCAAATGAAAGGAATTCGTTTCAAATTAAACCCGTTCTTCTAATTAAGATACACCAAGACTTGTTTTATTGGGGATAAAAAAAAACACGAATTAAACCGGTAGCGGTTGGACATTTATTTTGATAAACTTGCCTTGTTGAAAAAAAAAAAAAAAATAAAATAAAATAATATAAAAAAAATCCGTCTGTTTAATTTTAAAGTTTACTTTATTATAGAAAGTGTACACGTTTAAAGAGTTTTAAAAAATATCTCCGTAATAAAAGCTACGCACGCTTGGACAACAATGCACAATAGCGCACCAATCGTGCTAGTGAACGCAGACAATGACACAAGTAATCGCGGATTTTTTTCTTTCTTTCGTTCTTTTCTTTTCTCCTTTTGAGAATGAAATATTTGAAAACTGTATAGCCGTGGTTTTTCGTTGTACGCGGGGGCCAATAAAAAGCGTGGGAAAACAGGAGTTTATAGGCACAAAAATAAAATCTTCCCTCACCTGTTAAAAGTTGGCCTATTTTTTTTTTAAAGCTACATTATAGAAAACCACAAAAATTAATAAAATGTCAAATAAATCTAAATAAGTCACTGTGTTACAATTTAATCTAGAAGTTTACATCCTTATTCAACGTTAAGTATTGTTTATACAATTAAAATATTTATTTGTAATACATTTTTGATCGGATAATATCACCCATACTCTAATAATTTACAGCGTTAAAATATTATCTCTCTAAATTTAGCATGTTTTCTTTTTGTACACACAACATGCATCTGATTTTAAAATACATTTTTAAATTTGAAAAAATCTTCCTCGAAAAATATCCAGGCTACACGATAATTTATTCATTTTTTTCTCTTTCTCTCTGCTCTTTTCCGTTCTATTTCTAATCAAAACTGATATGAAAATTATAAATGAAGTTGTTTAAAAAAAATGAAATTAGGCCGACATTCTCTTGAATGTTAGTTTTTCTTCACGCCGGGATCTCATCATTTTCCAATGGCATATTTCTCCGTCTAGACGCCCGTGTTGCTCATTTTTACACGCCGTCCTCTTTCGATCAAGGATTCGCACATTTAAAAACTCACAGCTACACAGTAAAAACAAATACAACTAGTTTTTAATCACTGGCCTTGTGATATTTAGCCGCACAATTATTGTGTTGTGTCCTAGTTATGTTTATCCTTGATTTATTGAAACAAGAGTAGCGTCTGCTCGTAATTAAAGCAATAGTTGTGGCTACTAGTAATTAATTTTAGTTGTGCCTACTAGTAATTGACACAATTGTTGTAGTTTTGGTAATTAAAACAATAGTTGTATGTACTTGTAATTGACACAATAGTCGTGTCCACTGGCAATTAAAACATTTTTTAAAATTGTAGTAACCAACACAATAGTTTTGGCTACGGGTTATTTAAACAATAGTCGTGTATCCTAATAATTGAAAAAGTAGTTATTAAAAAATAGTGTATATTATAATTGTTGACACAATAGTTTGAATTTTGGTAACAATATCAATAAATATGTCTACTGTATTAAACCATTTTTTTAATTCCGGCAAATATCACAATAGTTGTGTGTATTTTGTAATAAGAATTATAGTTGTGTATTCTGATTATTAACACAACAATTGTGTCTACTGCTATCAAAACAACAGTAGGGTCTACTGCTTATTAAAACGATTATTATGTACTGTGGTTCGTAACAAAATAGTTGTGAATGTTGTTAACTAAAAATACTTCCACACTAGTTCTTAAAACAGTATCTAAAGTTAATTAAAATACTAGTGTATTATTATATCGAGAACAATAGTACTCGAAATAATTCCTGATGATAATTTATACTAGTTTTATTTAGTCACGTGAACAATTGCATTGTGTTTTAGTCATCCTTAGTTTTTTTACACTTATTATATTATGTAAAAACTATAATTGTATGCTTGTATTACGCTTTGTATAAATTATGTGTGAATTAAAAGGTTACAGTATAATTATATACGTGTAACATTTCTTAACGCCATTAATATATATTTATGTAATATTTAGTTACATAGTAACAGATTATTGAAATAAATGATCACACACATGTAATATGTGTAATATTCAGTCTGTTCACACATATTATATACTTTTAGTAGTTATTTATAATTAATTCTACATTTTAAACTCATAATAAAACATAGACGTAATATTTAGTCTTATCATAATTTTTGCTTGTATATCTTATGATATTTGGTTTTTATTTTTATAATTGCAGTAGTTTTATTCTTGTTCTATTCAAGAACAGTATAATTATATATACCTGTAATTTATAGAATTAATAATAAAGTATAATAAGTATTTTAGGGTCATAATAATTTATCACCTGTAATTTATAGTCATAATAGTTTCTTGAATTCCAAATATGTTTTTTACTTGTTTGAACCCAACTATTGTGATATAGATATTGTATACTGAAATAACAAGATACTACTACTAAAATTTTGACATCATTTATTGGATTTAGTAATGTTTTAAAATAACAACACATTGAGTTAATAGTTTGGTGTTGAGGCTTTCAAGACTTTATTTTACTTGTAATATTCAGAAACATTTTTGCTTGTAATATTTTATTTTAATTGACATTTTCTAAATTGTAACATTTATTCATTTACTGTTTTTATTGTAATATTTAACCCTTAAATACCTCCATAAATATAATCCTTGGTCACAAATATATATATATATATATATATATATATATATATATATATATATATATATATATATATATATATATATATATACATATAATGTTTAAAGAAATTGATTAGTACTATTTAACAGTTATAATTTGTAGCATCAATTCAATTGTAACTATAATTTGCCATAATCTCGCCTGTAGTTCTTCTTGTTAATGATAATAAAACTCACACCTTCAAACCTGAAACACAATCGTAATCAATTAATTCAATGCTAAACACAATCATTATCAACTAATTCAACATTAAACACAATCATGATCAACTTATTCAACATTTAACACAATCATGATCAACTAATTCAACATTAAACACAATCATAATCAACTAATTCAACATTAAACACAATCATGATCAACTAATTCAACATTAAACACAGTCATGATCAACTAATTCAACATTAAAAACAATTATGATCAATTACTTCAACATTGAACACAATCATGGTCAATTAATTCAACATTAAACACAATCTTAATAAACTAATTCAATCTTATTAACATTCACGATCAACTAATTCAATATTTAACACAACCATGATAAATGAATTCAACATTAAACACAATTATGATAAATTAATTCAACATTAAACACAATTATGAACGACTAATTCAATCTTAAACACAATCATGATCAAGTAATTCAAACTTAAACACAATCAAGATCAACTAATTCAATCTGAAACCGACTCTACCCACACACGACATTTTAACACCGTGTCTCAGTTTTAACTTCTAAACATCTTCACGGCTAATGAAAAACTTTCAAAAAGAAAACTTTAAATCGCAAATGACGTCATCAATTTTTGTGAATTTTTAAAAAAAAACATGGATTCCTGTTAATTTCCTTGACACGCTTCTATTTATAACTTAACAGTCGCATTTTGAAGAGTGAACAGATTTCTCTGTATAGTTTACTTAGTTCTATTAAGTATTAACTCTCTTAATCCTAATTGATTTTATTAATTAGATAATTAACTTTAAAATAAATAGGCCCCACTAACAATTGTAACACTTACCCACATAAATTCACACAATTTCTAAAATCTTTTTTTTTCAGGTTGCGTTAAACATCAACCTGGGATTGCTTTCCGATAACAAAAGATCTATATCCGATCAATTAAAACTTAACACCTGGTTTTTTGTGTGACCTCACGAGGTAAGTTTTATTGTAATCATTGACTTTAATTTATTACCTCTAATTAGCTCGCAACAACACACCACAATTAAACGTAGCTTTACCCTGTAAATTAAATTAAATGTAATCAAACACACCGATATTTCTATAAAATATGATCAAAGAATTAAACGCAACATTTATATTTAAACATAGGATATATCATACGAAACACATGTTAAAATAATATCCAGTAATATCTATTAAAGCAATTAAAGATAGATTAGTCATACAAATCTATTACACATGGGACAGATCCATTACAAGTACACGGGGATAATCATGAGAATATTCTGAGAATATTCTAGTGCACAACAAGACGGTGAAGATCATTTTAATGTCTTCTCCTTAACTCCAGTTAGAAGAAACGAGTATAGGTGTTGCGTTAGTTCACAAGTAAATGTAGTAGGTTTGGTGGTGTTTTAGTTCAAAGGATATTGTAATAGATTTGGTGGTGTGTATTAATTCACAAGATAATGTAGTAGGTTTGGTGGTGTATTAGTTCAAAAGATAATGTAATAGATTTGGTGGTGTTTTAGTTCAAAAGATAATGTAATACATTTGGTGGTGTTTTAGTTCAAAAGATAATGTAATAGCTTTGGTGGGGTTTTAGTTCAAAAGATAATGTTATAGGTTTGGTGGTGTTTTAGTTCAAAAGATAATGTAATAGGTTTGGTGGTGTTTTAGTTCAAAAGATAATGTAATAGGTTTGGTGGTGTTTTAGTTCAAAAGATATTATAATAGGTTTGGTGGTGTTTTAGTTCAAAAGATATTATAATAGGTTTGGTGGTGTTTTAGTTCAAAAGATATTATAATAGGTTTGGTGGTGTTTTAGTTCAAAAGATAATATAATAGCTTTGGTGGTGTGTATTAATTCACAAGATAATGTAATAGATTTTATTGCTGTCTAGTGTTAGTTAAATATCATAATTCCTGCACTGCCGACATACCTAAAATATTTTCTTATTCATAATTATATTTTTTAGTTATGCTGTTGTTTTAGTAATAAGCAATAAACTAATTGTTTTATTTTTTATTTTTTTATTTAATGATGTATAAGGATATAAACTCGGTTTTAAATAAACAATTATCTATTTAATGAATGAATGAATTTTAAACTATTTAGTAGAACATGGTGAGAGTACCAAGTTACGAATGAGCCGCGGGGGGGGGGGGGGGGGGGGGGGGGGAAGGCGTTGATAGGGCGTTGGTTGGATGATTGCTTTGGGGGGCGTGAAACTAGGGCGCTTCTTTCTTCTATTGTGTTTAAATGATATACTACACGGGTCTGTGTGTGCGAGGGTTGCCGTGGGGGAGGGGGGGGGGCACGGGGTAGGGAGAAAGCCTTGATAGTGTTATTATATTTCTTTGTTTTTTTTTCTCTCCCTCCTAACCCGCGCTCCGCTGTTCCCGTCACCACTACTCGTAGTTATAACAGGAAAACTGTTCCATCGCCACTTTTAATATAAAACAATTTCCTACAATTTATATAAATCTCCCCCCCCCCCCCGGGGTCGATAATGAATAACATTTTAAACTTGCAACCAACGGGATACTTGACTTTGTAAATTGCTCTGTACGCAGGCGTTCGAGATCTATTTGATGGCTTGCAAGTGATTTTTGCCTAGCGTCATTTCCTCCCGGCGCCATACGCACCAGTGTGATGACGGCACGCATGCGCACTGAGAGACTACGACGCGAATGCCGATTGAGAAAATATTTATGTAGATTTAAATACTACTAAAAGAGCTCTTCAAAATGTTTTTTTTAGAAATCTTGTTTTATTTTGTGGCTTTCCGATTTGAATCGTTTCTCAAAAATTTTCTTTGGAACTATTTTTTCTCCACGGAATTTAATTTGTCTGTAATTGGTTTGGATGGATCTATCGCGTAGCAATACACCGCTTTAAAAAAGGTGTAAAAGTGTGCACTACTCCTTATAAATCGTAGTGTTTTTTCCCCATAAATTTCAGTTAAAACTCAGATCAAGAAAAATGTAGTCACTTTGAATTTCGTTAGAAATCGACAATTATTTGTTAATCATTTTCAAATTATAAATTAAAAAATAAATTATAATATTAATATTGGAAACATTTTTGCCATGAAATAGGAGCTTAATAGCCATCATGGAACCGGCACAATATTTGTTTCCTCTGGTTTAATTTTTAGCGTCTGTGTCTCGTTTAAAAAACGGGTGGACATGATGAAAATGTCGTCATTTGGCTCAAGCTAATTGTAATCATGCTAATTATCGATGTTTCGGATTCTTCTGGTGAATATCATCGTTCAAAACACACGCAATTTACTATAGTATAACCTCTAAGTTGCTCGGTGGCAATCTCTATATGACTTAACAATTAGCGTTGATTTGGAGACTATGTTCTTGTTTAAATGACCGATTAGCGTTTAGCTTTTTTTGTTTTTGGGCTATGTACCGAAAAGGATTTGATACTATGAAACGCAACGCTTATAGTTTTGGAGTTAAGTAATAGAAACAACCAGAAAGGTGAACTAGACTAATGATGTGCACGGTCATACATCTTCCATAGTCAGACTACGTAACAACTCACCTGTTTGTCCGGGTTAATAATTAAAAAGTTGATTGATGAGCAGGTAAAAATAAAGATTCTAACAGTCCACGCTAAATTTTATATGTGTGTCAGTCGGAAACTTTTTCGCAACAAAGTCATGTTTTTTTTTTCGTTCTGGCGGTCAGGTCATCTTGACAGAAGACACCGCCCTTAGCCTAATCCTGACCTTCACCCATGACCGCGCCGCCATTATGTTACTATTTATATCTCGCAGCACGCCCGCCGAGCCTGTAAAACGTTTATGTTATGTGCTGCAGTTTTCTAACCCTTGCCCAGATACGTTACCCACCCTAATCAACCACACAGAGCACCAGTGCTTATATTATCACTAATGTCTACACATTTTAAACTTTAGGTTGGGGTAAATATAAAATAAAAATCTAACGAAGAAAACAAACAAACATATTAGTGTAATATTTTTTGTGATGTATGTTGATCTTGTCAGGGGTGGGTGTGACCAAACTATAAGGCGTGAGGGGTGAAATTTTGTTGAACACTTCTAGGGGTTATAAAACCTAACAACGCCTATCTAAGCATTGGGTTGGTGTTCATTACGTACGTAAAGCGGTGATTGGTATTTTTTTTTCCATAATAGAGCGGGCTGACGTCTAGATAAGATGTAATACAATACGAAACAACACGACACCAAAATACAGTCAACTAAATACAATTGAAACCCAACATCATATGCCTTTAGATGCCCTAACATCATATGCCTTTAGATGCCCTAACATCATTTGCCTTTAGAAACCCAACATTCATATATTATAACAAGCCGTTAGAAACCCATCCCATCCCCCTCCCCACTTCCTTATCTACCGTACAATACCTTACTGTACAGGTAGCAAGAATACGGTCATTCTAGTTTTAACCCCCGATTCCCTCCCAAATCCACCCCACCCCCATCAACTACAGAAACATTTTAAAGGCCACACAAAACATCTCACATTTCTCCCTCACACCCCAGTCACACACAAATCCACCTCACCACCACCCCACCAATTAAGCTGCTTAGCTTAATCCCCTAAATACATGTGTTACATAAGCGCATAACCTTATGGTAAACAGTGCTTTAAACTAGGGCAGATGCTTTAGTAGGTCTTAGTATGCTAATGTATGCTGATGATATATGCTGTGCCTTACATGTTGTAATTAGCTCTGACCAATTATATACTTTTCTACTTCAATTAAGTGTGTAATTTGCTTTTGTAAGAAGAACGCGAACTGTATGATCTAGAAACTGGATTTTTAATTATGAAATTAGTAAGAATGTACATTGTTTCATGCATACATTATTTTATGGACACATTGTAGCTTGATTTTAACTGCATTTTTTCATGGGAAGTGTATGTCATGTTACAAAAGGAATCTAGATTTTATACGCAAATTTAACTTTGCTTTTAACAAATATTTGAGTATTATTTGCGTAATATTAATATGTTTTTTTCTTCACATAGTTTAATACTATACACCTTCAGATCCACAAAATAAAAAAAAAAGAATGTTAGGAGTTTGTTAGGACTGTGTAATTATTATACAAAATGTATCCCGAATTTTGTCTACTTCATCCCATTCTGACAAAAACAAAGGGCACTGCTGGGGGTAGGAGATATGTGGCATGTTCTTTGATAAAAGTCTGTTTTTATAGAAAGAATGTGACCGGATACGTACGTCTACTAATTTTTTGTTTAATTAGCACCAACCTCAGGTATGAAACCTGATTAGTGGCTCTATAGAATTAATTAACCGGTTCGATACAAAGTTTAATAACTGAGAAGAAATCTGATCTGTTTCATACAGAGTGTGTGTATTTAAAAGAGTAACATTGCTTGCTTGACACATTTATCTCTTACAAGAGGGGTATATTTTTTTTTATTGTCTGTTTAATTTATAACGTGTGTATACGGCCTAGATTACATTCATAGAGTGTGTATTAGGGATAGAGAACAATCAAGATTTGTGTAATTTGTGTTTTAAAAAGTGAAGTTCCCTTTTCGAACCTGAAGGTCCATGAGCCAACCTCGGCCTATGAAGGGATAGCGTGGTCAGCATTATGCCCAGCCTCCTTCACCTTCCATAGCGAGAAGTCGTTACCCATCAGAGCTGGGTTAACTCAGGAAAGTTCTACTGACTTTAACCCGGCTTTAAGGGCTAGCAGTTTAGCGCTTACCGCTACAATTTTTATATAGTTGATAGAAAATTAGAAAACTAGCTCATAAGGTATTAATGATAATCAGCGGCGTATTTAGGGGGTATGTCAGAAACATATATACTGACCCCCCCCCCCCCTCCCCCAAATGAACCATGTTCTACGTTGTTACAGCTGTCGGCGATGCTCGTTCGTGCCGCTTTCAAAGTTGTGAATGTCATAAAACTTCAGTTTTATGTTCTC